GTAGGTGAGAAAACAATATGATCACAAGTAATGAATCACAAAATCACTGGAACGAGCTCACCAGAATGAAAATGCAAAATGGCGGGCGGCGTGTTCCTGACAGGGGGTCACCAATTGTTGGGCGGAACCTGGGATACTAGTCGGTAAGCAATGACACGTAAGACGTGTCAAATACGACAGTATAGAAGTCGGAGGGGACTGAACTCAACGTGTATTGTGCAGGCTACAAGAGTAGGAAGCGAATCAGACAGAGCGAGAAATGTGCAGCGAGGAACTCACCAAAACGGTTTGTGACAACGGATGTGCAGTCAGTTAAACAAATGGACGTTTGGAAGGTTAAAACAACCATAAAATCCAATGTTACAAAGAACTGAAAAAGCATGTTTTCCGGTGCACTACAATCTTGGCATGGTCATCGTCTGTTGATATGGAAGGTTGCCCAGGCTTGGGATCTTCACCGACCGACATTCTTCCCTGTTCAAACGCTTAAACCACTTATAGCACTGAGTGAGACTCCCCGTATATTTGGCTATGCAACTGAAGTGTCTCTATAAAAGTTGCTCGTAGTTTGTAGCAAGCTGTTACACACACGTTGCTCTTCACATCTCTCGTTGTTACTTTGACACCAATCCGACGAGCAGCTTGTGCAGCTGCTTCCCAGTGGCTGTAGGTCGCCACCTAACGGTCGGAGCAAAACGCGGCAAATGGCAGTCTGTTGTCTAAGCATGGCCCTACGTGCAATCAGTAGCCGTAGCGCGCTACCTCTGCCATTTGTCTCGCTGTTTCTAAAGTTCGCCTTTTTGATATTTGATAATATCAGACAACACATGATGATCTCAGACAACGCGTCTGTGGCAAAACGAATCTCCCGCTCAATGAGCTTGTTCTATTGCATCAGCTGAGGTGGCTTGGCCATGTACTGCGCATGTCTGACGAGCGACAGCCACGCTGCGCCCTATTCGTGCGTACAGAGCTGCATTGGAAGAGACTGCGTGGTGACTAGCCGAAGCACTTGCCGGAGCTCGTAGCTATGTGCATCAGGTCATCCAATAGTCTGTAAGAAGTTGCATCCAATCCCATGAAGACTATTGTCCATTTACTTCAGGAGCAGTTGACAAGAGAACAATCGCGGTCGTTTCGTTTATAAAATCAAAGAGAAACGGTGGGGTGGCTCCAATTCTGCCCACCTGTCTTGAGCCATCAACCTGTCCCAGGAGTCGCGGTGCGAGGCTATGAACTGGGGGAACTCCTCTTGCACACTTCACAACACCCCACAAGCTTTATTCTTTCAGTGTTTACTTTCATGCGATATTTTCCCTTGTGCTTTTATCCTTCATGGCGTCCTTTCCCAGTACGCGTGTATGAACTATAGTCTTTGGGATGGGCTTCATTTTCGCTCCAGCCAACAATCATTTGGACTAATGTTGTTGGAAACTCTTCGCATCGTTAACCTGTGTGGTTCTAAATGTCCCACGTCCTAGTCTAACGTTACAATTCTATCTCCAAAACTGCGATCATAACTACTTACAAAGCACCTCACTGCCTGCATCGCTAACAACCTCATAAGACCGTGTAGAGATCTGATTTTACCAACGGTTTTGCCTTAGCTTGTTCAACTCTTATTTTCAGGTTGTTCAACCACGTTGAAGATGTTGTACACTTCAAGTCTTTCTAATGTAGCACAAATGAGTGGAGTTGGAAAGGTAAGCTATCCACTTCACAACAAGCTTCATTTTTTCTCTAGGTGATCGAACTCAGGGATGTCGAAGATTTCTCGAAAGACTGGTTGATGGACCACTTAGAAAACCAGAGATGATCATTTCTGTGCCTATCACAAAGACACCACTTCGCCTGTGCCCACTTTTTCATTCGATGCTATCTGCTTTTACAGTTGTTTTTCTAATTTTATTATTACAAAGTCGCACGTGTCGGATAACCTTTAATAAACTCATGTGCAATACCAATCGGTTTCTTGACGGTTCGCTCCCCTATGCTTGCGTTGCGGACCAATGACGTGTTCCATTTAGATTTTCTCTCTCAATTGGGTAGGAGAATTGCACCATTTCTTCTGCCTACTCGGATAGTCGTGGCAAGAAAACGTTAACCGTCGGATGTTTGTTGTGAGAATGTATCCACGGCACGGCGATCGCGCAAGAGCATGAACTTCAGAACAAAGGCCCGTCCGTCTGACAGTTCTAGCGTTTCTCAACTCATCCAAATGACTCTCCTTTTAGTGTGTCGTCATCTTGATTTTATGTTCTCACCGAGGCGTGAATCCAGGGTCACAATAAATATTTCGTAGTGGCTTGTCCAGAGAATTGTTCTGATGCCTTTTTTGTACTTCATGGGTGGTGTGTTTAGGAAAATAACATGACTATAAGGATCAAATGCATGTGCGACACGGAGTTGCTAGTTACCAAATAACACATCGCCTGTATTCTTTCCGCTGAGTGTCCGACTGTTGAACATGTCCCCAAATGGGACATGGGAACCTTGACCTCAGAGCTGAGTCGTGATCGCGAACCTCCTGAAAATTTCTCCCAGTTAGTTCCTTATGCTCACTTTGTCGCGAATGTGTAAGGATTCTTTTAGTCTGAAACCGGTTCACAAAATGCCGTCAACATAAATTCTACTCTTTTGTTACATGAAACGGTCAGCAGTCCTTAATTCGGAAAGTTAAGGTGATCCATTTCGTCAGAAATTAATACACCCAGGTTAGCATCGCACACGCTAGATACTAAGCGTAAGGTATGCCTAGCCTGTTTAGTACGTATCGTTGCGTTCAGTTCGCGAAACCCAGCGAGCTGCTTAAAACGGCCTCAGCACTACGCCGGTACGCAGTACGGACGCTTCGCTGCCGCGCAATAACCACCAGTCGCACGTGGAGTAAGGATACTGCGAGGGTCACCCGGTCCCTGCCCAAACTCGAACCCGTGCCTTCGGATTACAAAGCAGGTTTGTGATTAAGTCTACGGACGGGCACATGGACTGCTTATAAATATTTGGATGCCGATTCGATGAAATGCAGCGTAATCCGCTAAATGCACCCATATGTCTGACTCGACAAATGTACCCTACACTACGTCGTCGATGCGATGTTGACGTCGTCTGCAATGGAGCAATGATTTATAACGAATAAAAAGCAAATGTCCAACACGTCCCGTAGGTTAGTCAGGAACAGAACTGTAAAGGTTATGCATACGAATAGAACGAAACGCGGCAGGATAACGACATATTAGGACAAACGTTGTAAAATGGGATAACGCCACCCGGAACTCGAAATCATACATTATTATTATTACTATTAAATCAACACAATTTGTTAGAGAAATCGCTTCTTATACATAACAGTCGGATAGCACGCTCACCTGCATCGATTCCCGCGCATCAACGTGGATTATAATTGCGAATAGGCTAAATTACTGGGACACATCCCGGAGTATCCGTTCACGTAAGCAAATACAGGGAGCTGAATGCGATGTCGAAACACTTTTTGCAGATGGCCAAATTTGGGACAATGAGGTTTGAAAAAAGCGTTTCAGCTGGTATACTCGGTGGTAGAAAGGGTTTCGTCAACAACCTAAACGACTGCATTGTTGACTTAATTTTAAGTTATTACCTCACAGATTGATGTTTGGGCTGGGCGCGATATAGCATGCTCGGCCGCCAGCACCTCGATCGAGGGTTCACTTCACCTCTCACTTTGGGAACCGTTCACTCACACTGTGCAACCCGTCCAGACCCCCCCCCCACACACACACACACAGACTGGAATCATCGCGCACCTCCATGTTCATCCCACCCTCCTCTGTTTGACTGAGCTAAGCCACTCCCCCTCATAAGCTGTATAGCGAACCCATGAGCCAAAGGTTAGCGGACCTAATAAAAGTAAGGTCGTAGTCCGACTGTGGACTCTGTATCGTGTGACTCTATGTATGGTGGCAAGTGCTGTTTCTGTTCCTTTTGGACATTGTGAAGAACGATTGTTTCGAAACTGAACGGGTATTGTCGAGGTACATACTTATTGTATTCTGACTCCCATTTGAATAGTACCGTAACGTCTCGGCTTCCTTTCTTGGACCGGGAGTTTTCACGCGTCACTCGAGGCCACAAGGGAATTTGTCGCTTACAGTACTCGACATCCGTGTTTTAATTTGGATTAGACTGGAGTAGAAGTACCCAACACCATGTTACGCGTCACTCGAGCCACAAGAAAATTGGTCGCTTACAATATGTTTCGCTGTGGCCTCGTTCTAGTGCATACACAAACTTTGGTATGTGATACCAACAAAAGAACGATCGAGGTCTTTGTTCAATCAGCCAGAATCAGCGATTCTCCAGGTGGACCGGTTTCACAGTATTCAGTGTCACCCAAAATCGGTACAATGGGTGTGTAACCTGTAACCACTGGCCGATTTGCTAAAATAGCTCCCAAGATGTGTATAGCGCCATCCATCGTAGGTAGTACGACAGACCTGAGGCACGCAAGCTGCTATGCTACATTAGAGTGCACTCCTATTGCGACAGGTTAAATAAGTGCTCTTACCTGTCGCCGGGAGTTTTCCCGAATACAACGAAGAACCTTGGTAACCATTACCAGCCTTGATTCGGACAATAAACATGTACAGATCCCATGAAGTAGCATACAAAACAAAGGTGGTCAACTGCTATCCCCGGCTGCACCGCTAGACGCGCGGTTCAATGTATGATGATTATGTCCGGCTCTGTAGTCAGTCACCACAGAGTATTATTGTTGCTTTGTTAAATCAAATCCGTCAGTTTTGCTGTAGAGACAAATGACAACTATAGAAACCACCCATGCAGAAGAGAAGACTTGTAATCTTGTAATGGAGAGCAAATACAGGTGAAAATTTAACGCTTTTGTCTAGCCTTTAGTTTTGCCGCCAAACTAACAAGCATTGATGGCTGAACCCGATTGACAGCACTCAGCTGTTTGTGAGGTATGTGTGCAAAAAGTTCTTCTTTGAGGAAACTTTCAGCCTCGTCGCGGAGTCTTTGTTCAACACCAAGCCGATCCAAAAGTCGCACACGAAACCGGCGTCCTTGACAAGCCTTACGGACAGGCCGGTTAGCTCCACGCTGCTGATGGTTTGGCTGTGATGATTCAGTGAGTCCCAAACGTGTGTTCGCATCCGCGAGCTGATCTGCGCGCCTCAATCGATCTTGTTCATCACTCCCGTCGTAGCCCTCGTCTGACTCTAAATGAGAACGAGAAAGATGGGAAGCATTCTTACTGGCCTTCATACGGCTTATGACACCAATACTTGTGAAGACTCACCAGTTGAAATTGGAATTACATTAAGAGAAATAGTACTGAATGTATAAATGAGTTGATCAATTGCTATTGATGTGATATGACTGACCGTCCATCCGATGGTTCAATAGAATAGTGTTCGGAGACTTGTGGGTATTAGCAATACATCGGCACCCATTGACGTGTCACAGTTACATAGTCGTCCATAAATCGTACTAGTGCCTACCAATTAAAGTAAATACTCATTCACAAAGAGCTGATCAATGTAAGATGGAGTGGTATCGGTAAACGGATTATCTTTGAATGTTCGTGCCGATGGTCCACAACCGCCAGTAATCGAAAAGTGGTTGGTACGGTCTTCCGAAGCTCTCAGCGCTCATCCAACACCGCAGACTGTAGTGGTTCGGTCACGTCCTTCGCAGACCAGACACTGACTTCACTATGGCCGTGGTTTCACCGTCGCCTTGCCAAGATTGGTGTCGTCGCCGTGGTGTACCATTGAAAACCTGCCTAGCTGCAGTGAAATCTGATGTTGATCTTCTGTGATTCCATGTTGTGCATGGTGCTCGTCATTGGAGAAATCATTGGATCAGTATCTGCGTGGAGCTTGCCATCGAGCGCCGCACTTGGGCAGCTTCAATTCGCGATATTCATGAAGCCGCAGTAAAGTAAAAGTAAGAAATGAAATCTAAGTGAGTGGTAAGACGGATCTGATTAGTTTTAAGCAGTCGCAGTGCGGCCAAACTTGGTCATACCGTTATATGGCCGTCCCACCCCATGGGGATTCGCCGACCGAACTCTTCTGGATTCGAACTCAGGACCGTTCTGGTTTTGATAAAACTACGTGGGACGTAAGACTTATCCGATATTTCAGTTTAAATGCGACAGTGATAACACAATTGGCGGCCATTTCGAGTCTTATTCACCGAACTACCAAGCTATGCATATATCGGGAAGCGTGGGCCCACTTTCTGAAGCTAAAAGGTAGGTTAGTCTTCTGCTCTTCCTCTTCGACTCAACGAATTATGCCACTGAACCGTTGATGATGCTGCTAGACGCGATGCAGCGCAGCTCATCCTACACTGTCATGCACGTTGCCACCGTGCAGTATGGAGGTGGCCCTCCGAGGCATTTCACCATGCCGCAGCTTTTATATTGCTGCAAGCCGGATCGGCCGATTGGTTGCAGTAGTTCAGTACTTTTTCAGGTGTGTGATGGCCGATTGAACCTGGATACGACGAGATACTAAAAACCTACTCACTAACGACCAGTAATTCTCGGTCTGGCTCGTAATGTCATATAACAATTGGCGACAACGAGGGAGATCGTGTCTCGGAGGTAAAATCATGTATGCTGCACGGTGGTAATGCACCTGACGATGACTGACATGGTGCATTGCAGATAGTAATCAGCCATGATAGCCAAATGCCGTCACTCGCAGTTCAATAAGGGAAAAGCATGAGTTCGGATTAAGCAGAATTCGAGAAACCCGCGTTGCTGGCGAGTCCCGATAAGACGAGACGACTATCCAGTGCATTTCCAGATGCCTAGCGATCGTTTGAATGGATCATCGTTTAACGATGTTTTGCTACTCTTGCCATCCTTTAGGGTGTGGTAGTGCGACGCGACAAGCATCGCAGGCGTTGATAATCAAAGATGTGGAGATGCGCCGGTGTCCTGTACGGCAAGTTTTCCATTCAAAGAGGCCCAGTTTTGACCCCGCAAGCGCTTCGTGAACTAGCCGACAGATTGTGTCCGACCATTTAATTAGTGTTTCTGTAAAAAAATAGTGTCAGTTGTACGCAGTGACGGAACTACGCTGCCGTGCGACCACTACTAGTCGCACGAGGACTGAGTATATCTCGAGGACGCCCACCTCTAAGCCGATTCGAACCCGCGCCACAAGATCACGAGACAAGCTCGTTACCACTAGGCTACGGGCCGAATCTTACGCTTAACAGTTTAGATTTCAAGATTAAGGATGAAAACAGCGCTGGTGTTTGGACTGCAGTGAATGACGGGCGCAAGTGTCATTTCAACTTATTGTATACATTTGTCACATCTAAGACAGTAGGGCCTGAGGCGGGGAAACGAATAAACAACCTGTGGCCGGGTTACTCAAGCGAATTCTATTTATCGCTATGCTTAAGCGTAGGGGATTGATAGGGCAACCACGCAAGATACTTTTACAATTACTGAACTTGGCACATTTGTTTTATTGGAACGTGAAAGTTTGTTTCCGTTGAAAGTTACTTCAGAGCCCCAGTGACACTGAGATGACGGTTGACCAAGGGCCTCAGAATCGTTGGTGAACGATCACGAAACAAGAGATAGAGAAGGCTAATGCCACTTGGAACAGTAGTGTAATTAAACCTGATAAAAATGCCAAGACGTTGTATCCTTCGTAAGGGTACGCATCACCCCA